GCTCAGGTGAGACCCCACCTGCAGAGCTGCTCCCACGGCAGGGGTGGCACTGGATGGGCTGTAATGTCCCTCCCCACGAACCAGGGCTCCACTGTTTGATCCCATCGGGTGCTGGGGCACAGCCACGACCACCCAAGCCCTGTGCCCAGCGGGCAGAGCCAGCAGCATCCCGGCAGGAATGCGGGACGTCACCACCCCTGACTTTACTCCTATTTCGGTTTGGTTGGTTTTTTTTCAGTATCTGAGATTTCCTGGAAACTCCGCGAGCCAAAGCTCAGCTGAGTGGGGAAGGTTTGCGGCACTGAAGCTGCCGTGGGCAGGTCCCGCCGGCCGGCCCAGCCCCGCGGGACATTCCTGCGCTCTGACGCCGGCTTGGGGCTCAGTTTCAGCTTCTCCGTGTTTCACCCAGAAATCAGAAAGAGCCTGATTTGGGATTCCAGAAGACAGCAGGGAAGAGATGTGGATGGCTCTAGGCAGGCGCAGAAAGCAGGGAAAGGAGGAGGTGGGAATGGGAATGGAGAAGGGAGAAGGGAGAAGGGAGGAGTAGGAATAAGTGAAGGTAAGAGAAGGAATAATGAAGTGGGAGAAGGAGTGGGGATGGAAAGGAGCCTGGGAAGGTGGCAGAGCTCTCCCCAGCCACCCCCCAAACCAGGGTGCACAAACACCCCCAGTCTGGCATCGAATTCTCCCGTTCCCAGCCCCCACAGCCCGATCCCAGCACGGGGAGAGGGAGAAGGGGAGGAAGGGCTGCAGTGTCCCCTCCGTGCCCACCTCCTGTCCCTGCAGTGTCCCCCACCCCTGTCCCAGCAGTGCTCCCCCTCTGTCCCACCTGGGGCTAGGCAGTGTCCCTGCAGGGCCATGGAGCCCCCTCAGCCCCTGTCCCACCCTGGCCCCTTCCCTTCTCTTCCCCAGAGGGACCTGCAGAGAGGGAACAGAGCAGAGCTGAAGGAAGGGCTCTCAAACCCCCCAACCCAAACTGGGCAGTGCCCAGTCCAAAACTGGAACCTCCAAGCCCAGCCCAGCCCCCGGCAGAGCAGGAAATGCTTGCCCCTCCCAGCCCGGGGCCAGCGGCCAAACTGAACAAAACAAACCAAACCGCACATTTCACTCAATAAATCCTCTCCTTCTTCTGTTTCTTTAAACCTGAGCTGACCCCGGGGAAGCTACAGCAGCAGAACA